ACACGATAAATAAAAACAAAGTGAAATAAATAATTCCTCTTGTCTTTTCTCACACACAGCTCCATTTTTTTTTGTTCAATTTCCGATAGTCCATGCCTCAGAAGTTAGGTCTGCAATCGTTGATGGTTGTTTCCGCTATAGACAGGTGAGAAATCTATGTAAGTTTCTAGCTAAATAAAAGCTTCGCCAATAGATTGAAATCAATACGAGTACATCCAAACATTCCTTTAATGTATACTATTCTAGAATTTTCATCACCGTCGAGTCTAAGATCATTTTCACCATTAATTTGACCATTAAGCGGTGAAAGTGGGTGGTGATAACAAGCCTCATCGCGCTCCCATTCTCAAACCGAGATTGAAAATAATTATCACCGTCGGGCATTATCATGAACTCTTGATCGCTACCGGTGATCTGAGCCCTCGCCCCACGCGTCGTCCACTCTGCAAAGATAGTTGTTACTCATGCCATCGCTAGTTGAATCGGCATCGTTGTCTCCTCGCTCCAACCCATCGCCATCTCCTCGACCCGCCCGCCATGTGCTCATGCCACCACCCACCACCGCTATTGCTAGATCTCTGTGTGTGTGTGTGTGTGTGAGAGAGAGAGAGTGATGAAAATTGAGAGATGAAAAGAAGAGAGAGGGTGAGGATGGGCTCACCTCCATGCTGCGTGGTGGCGGCTCGTGCTTGTGCGGCGCAAAAGGGTCAGCAGCCTTTCAGCGACCATTGCTAGGGCGTCGTGCACCGGGCAACATGACGCTAGGATCGCTTTTGTCGATGCCTATGCACCGCTATCGCCTTCCCCTAAGGTTTGTCGTGCAATCGCTAGTGATGGTCGGGTACGAGAGAGAGGGAGGGAAGGAGGAGGAAGGAAGCGGTGAGAGAGAGAGAGAGAGAGAGAGAGAGAGAGAGAGAGAGAGAGATAAAGGGAGGATAATGGGACCATGGATCCGTTCCTCTCATGACAACCAATTCTAGGATGCCATGCTCCCACTGGTGGTCACTCCAAGAAAGCACGACAGAAGAAGCTGATGGGCGGGTAGGTCAGGCTAGAGACAAAGGCGCTCACGGGGTTTAGGTTGGCGCTTATGCGAAGCGAAAAGGTGAAAATTATTTTCACCGCCGGTTCAAAAAAAACCCCGTTGAAAAAATTGCTAACTTTAACCTTCAATTTTTAAAAGTGGTACTTATTGACAATATAAGATTTATGTTTTAAGAGTTACTAGGACAAATACTTTCATAATATATAATTTACATGTGAAACTACAACGATTTATGAGAAGTTCAATAACTCCTAGTCGACAACAACAGAAACCAACAGCGCATTTGGAGAGGCTCCGGCCGGTTCTAGCTCCGTCACTGTAGTGTCAGTTGAGCGGAGCTGGCGGACCCTCAAAGCCATGATGGCTCCGGCGGTGGCTTCTTTTTCATGTTGTTTTGGGAAGAAACCAGAGCCATTTTTTTTTTTTGGCTTGCTATAGTGTTACACGGTATTGCACGGTGCTATCTCCATGCAGAAGTCGGAGCAACTGGATTATTAATTATTAGCACCACTGATGTTTGAGCAGCGAAGACGAGTCCTTGAAACCAGTTGCAGCGGACGCGTCGGAGGAGCAGGATGTCTGAGAGGTGACCGTCGTTGACGACGACTGAGTTAAACTGGAAGACGTCATCCCTGACGAGGAAGCGTTGTACGAGGAGAGCCCCCCGCCCTCCGGCGACGCAAGTGGCACCGCGTATGTCGCCACGGGCATCTTGGCAGGCAGCGCCGGCACCGGGCCGTGATTGGACTGGAGAGCGGCCATGGCTACTCTGATGGACGGCCGTGCGCGTGGGTCAGGGTGCGCGCACCAGAGCCCGACGGCCACGACGCGCTCCACCTCCGCCGCGTCGTACTCTCCTTTCAGCCGCTCGTCGGCCGCCGCGAGAAGCGGCTCCTCTGCCGTACAGGTCCCATACACACTCGACGAGCCGGAAGACGGCGTTCTTCTGGCCGTCCAGCAAGCTCATCGGCCTCCTCCCGCAGGCGACCTCCAGCACGACGACGCCGAAGCTGAAGACGTCCGACTCGGCGCTCGCGGCGCCGGTGATGAAGCATTCGGGGTCGACGTAGCCTGGCGTGCCCGAGACGGCCGTCATCGTCTGCATCCCGACGGCGTGGTCGATGAACCTGGCGAGCCCGAAGTCGCCCAGCTTGGCGTTGAAGGACTCGTCGAGCATGACGTTGCTGGGCTTCACGTCGCGGTGCACGACGCACTGCTCCCACTCCTCGTGGAGGTAGAGCAGCGCGGAGCCAAGCCCAAGAACAATCTTGATCCTGTACGTTGTTGCCAACGTGGACATTCATTTATGTATGGTCATGCTTTTGCTTTGAATAATCCCTTTAATTTCATATATAAAACAGGATTGAGTTATTATAAATTCAATAAAGCTGCAGATCGATAGGTAACCTCATCGGCCATGTCAAGAAGGTGTCGTTGCCGTGGAGATGGACGTCAAGGCTGCGGTTGGGCACCAGCTCGTAGACGAGCAGCAGCTCGTCGCGGCCATGGCACCAGCCGACGAGCTGCACGAGGTTCCGGTGGCGGAGCCTGCTTATCACCTTGATCTCCGACTTGTACTCCTTCCTCCCCTGCGTGGAGGATCCTTTGGCGAATCTCTTGATGGCCACGGCAGCGATGCCGCCGTTCTGATCACCCAGGTGTCCTCGGTACACGGAGCCGAAGCCACCTTGCCCGAGCTTCTCCTCCGGCGCGAAACCCTTGGTCGCAGCAACGAGTTTGTGGTACGGGAAGCGCCTCGGCCCCGTCCCCAATTCAATCTCCATGATCGGCTCGTCGTCATCCGACTCTTGCGCCTGCTTCCTCCGACGTCGTCGTTGGAGTAGAGCCGCCAGAGCAACGAGAAGCACAAGCAGCAGTGCAGCGCCGACGCTGGCACCTGCTATTACTCCAGCACGTCCAGAACCGGACACATCCATGGGTGGTGGTGGTGGTGGCGGCGGCGGCGGCCGCTGCGCTGGCGGCGGAGCTAGCAGAATTGGTGTGGCCTTGGGTTCCAAGGACGAGCTGAAGTGCCAAGAATGCAGCTGGTGCAGCTCGATGGATGTGGACGTCGAGGCAGAGAAGCCAACAGAGACGTCCTCCGGCAACGCGCTCTTGAGGTCAACCTTATGGCTGATGTTGTAAGACGGCGGCGTGTCCTTCCATCGCCCAGCCACAGCGTCATTTCCAGGACGCTGGACGGGTTGTGGTACCTGATCTCGGCGGACATGTTCCCGATGAGGGTGAAGCTCGGCAGGGTCTGGGTGGCCACCGACCTGATAGAGTTGACGTCGATGCCGACGTGGTCGTAGGTGTCGTTGGGGTCGTGCGCGATGGTGTCGTTGAAGGTGTCGAACTCCACCGCCACGAACCGGGCGTCGCCGGCAGCCACGGCGTCGGCGCTCTGGTTGGTGAGCCCGATGTTGTAGGCGTAGGAGCCGGACGGCAGGCTCGACGGGTAGGCGGCGGCGAGGAAGAAGGCCATGCCGGTGCCCTTGTTGTCGATGCCGTGGTCCCCGGCGGGTCGATGACGAAGGCGAAGCGCGTGGTGAAGCTGGCCACCTCGCCGGTGTCCTTGTCCCAGAGGCGCATCGGCCGGGCGTTGTACGACGCGCGGCCCGTGCTGTGGCCGATGCCGGACAGCCTGTTCGCCGTCACCTCGATCCACCCGCTGCTGATGTAGGCGTCGCCTTCCACCCTGATGTCCTTGCGGTCTTCTGGGCTGAAGCTGTCGTAGTTGAAGGACAAGGCGGCGACGGGAGCTAAGAAGAAGAAGACGATGAGGCCGACGGCGGTGCAAGTGGATGCCGACGTGATCGTCGTGATGCCAGCCATCGCGCGCCGGCCAAACCGCCGCCCAACAAATTCCGCGGAACTCCAGAGGAGGTGCACTGTCTGAAAACAAGGGCGTCGTCGTCGGCTTGACTGGAACAGCGAGTCTACTGCGTGCCACACGTTCAAGCAGGTAGGCTGCCTGTCGTCGGAATCGTACTCGGCACGGTTCCCAAGGTCCCCACTCTATATTAGGCATGTTTGGTTTGGGCTACTAAATTTTAGGAGCTACTAAATGGTTTAGTCACTTTTAGTAACTCCATAATTATTAAGGAGGACTAAAGCTCTTTTAGTCATATTTAGTCATAATGTTTAAAAAAATTACTAAAAAAACTAAAAGCTACTAAATTTAGAAGTGTGAACCACACGGGCCCCTTAGACGCGGACACGGGCTAGCCAAAAGGCCAACAGCCCCCAACACCCACTGCTAGTAACTCCGTGTTTAGTTGTAGGAATTTGGATTTTGGGTTACTGTAGCACGTTCGTTTTTATTTAGTAAATAGTATTCAAACATGGATTATTTAGACTTAAAACGTTCGTCTCGCAATTTCCCACCAAACTATGTAATTAGTTTTTCTTTTTGTCTACATTTAATGCTCCATGTACAGGCCATAAACATTCGATGTGACAGATATTATAGCAACTTTTTAAAAGTTGAGGTGAAACTAAACAAGGGTTAAAATCCAGGCACCTTTTATCGGAAGAAGAGCTTGTCGAGCTTTCCAGCTCAACCCAGCACTGAATCGTATAAAGATTAGCACCACGAGGCTTCAATCAATCTCTTTAATTTGGGGGAACGTCATGATTCGCCAAGGATAAGGCAATTACCTCTGCACGTTCCTTCGTTTGCACTGCCTTTGTTCATGTCTGACTACTGTAGCAGCATCCACAGCACCCAAGCTCCTTCTATAGCATACTACCTAGGTATTTTTATTTTTCTCTTATAACTCTCAAGTTTTGGATCATTAGATACCATAAATATCTCATCTAATGACTCTCTTTAATTGTACGAAATTGCATCATGTTAGGGAAAAAACAATGCATTAGATTAATTAAAGCACGTATTGAACAAAACTATAACTCTAAATAAATAAATAAAGAAACATTGCCATGCACCTTAACATTGTAAGTTTCAACATGAGGAGTTAAATATTGGGTATTTCTTATCAATAGCTTTTCATGTTCCTTCCTAAGGAAGAGCTTTTCATCGGCTTGCTATCCTAGAGGTCTGAGTGGTACAATATGTTCTACTCACCCAGTTTAAAATTACAAGGCTTTCTTTTTTTAGGCACATTGACAAAAGTTATATAACTAGAAAAGCCAAAAACGTCTTATAATTTGGATGGAGAAAGTAGCAAGCAAGGTCATCTTTTGTCTAAATTCTATCCATCGTCGACCTTCTTACCACCTAACACTATATCCTCATGTGTGCTACCAGACTTGGGGCGTGTTTGGTTCGTGCCTTCACCTTGCCACAACTCGCCACGCCGGACTTCCGCTCGTGTTTGGTTCATACCGAACCTGCGCCGAACTTGCGGCACGCCGCAACTGCCTAGGCGCTCTCTAGTTCATTTGGGATGCCAACACACGCCGCAGTTCGGGCGGCCGATTTCATCGCCGCGTTTCTGGCGCGACTGCATCATCGGCGACGTGCGTAGGCACGAACCAAACACGCCCTTGATCACCATGAGTGGGGAAACTTCTAGCGTCCTGTTTGCTTGGCTTATAAACCGTACTTTTTTAGCCAACGAACAATATTTATCTCTCACAACAAATCAGTCAACAGTACTTTCAGCCATAGCTTATCCGCCAAGCGAACGGGGCATAGGTCTGGTGCCGACATGCATGGATCTCTCTTCAGTTGATGGTGGCTTGGGCACATCGATTAGAGAAACAACTCTCTTGGCTCTTGGCTTGCTACCAATGATGGAGCCCAAGGCAAGCCCTACTTTCTTGTTTTTTCTTTAAAAAAAACTATAGTGGTTTGTTTCACAACACGGTCGGCCCGTCTCTCCAAAGTCCAAACCAACCTTCTGGACCCGATGACCCCAGTGCAGGCGCAGCGCCCGAGGGCCGAAGCCGAAAACGAGGCTCGACACCCAGCGCATACGTCATCCCGCACCGGCAAGTAGTAGTGCGGAGAAAAGAGATGATGAGTCAGCCGGGGGCGGGGAGCCATCGCCGGCTCACCGCCTCCCGATTCCGCGACGGCCCGCAGCCACAGGCCACCGGATAACGCACGGCGGAACCATCCAAAAACGCGGGAGCTTTTCCAGTTTCCCCATCAAAACCCCACCCGAATCGCGCCAATCAACCAACACCGGGAGCAGCAGCAACTCACGCCCCCCTCCTCTCCAGCTTCCGCGGAACTAGGAGCCGCCATGCAGCCCGACGCCAACGCCCCCTCCCACCGCCTCGCCCGCGTCGCCGCGCACCTGAACCCCCAGCGCTCGCAGATGGAGGAAGGCGCGGGCGCGTCCGCGCTGAGGCCCGCGGTGTGCCGCGCCAAGGGCGGCGCGCCTGGGTTCAAGGTCGCGATCCTGGGCGCCGCGGGCGGGATCGGACAGCCGTTGTCGCTGCTCATGAAGATGAACCCTCTCGTGTCCGTGCTCCACCTCTACGATGTCGTCAACACGCCCGGTGTCACTGCCGATATCAGCCACATGGACACCAGCGCTGTGGTAACGTACCCCCCGAACTGATGGATTTGGCGGCTTACGCACTTAATTAATTGATTTGTCACAATAGGCACCCAATTGATCAGTTCTGCAGCTTTTTAGTTTTCTACTAGTTGGTTTCACCAGCTCATTATGTTATTATTATGTTATTTGTTATTGTGAATCATTATGTTCGCTGATTGTTGTGGTTAGGCTACTGATGTTTTCAGAACACCGTTCACAACATTTGTTGTTGTACTTAAAAGAAAACCAACTAGAACTTCTGTTTATATTTACGTTACATATGCCAATTGAGTATATAGTTCAGGTCTTGGTGTCTGTAATGCCTAAAGAAACAGAGCACAAAGAAAAGGGGAAAAAAGATACAATTACTCTCTGGAGTTTGAAAAGAAAAAAAATGGTGTAAACAGACTACGAGTATCTCTTAAAAAATGTATTTGAACTCCAATATTTTTCAAACAGCTTAAATTTGATTATACACTGTTTCCTTGACCCAAATTACCTAGGTGAAAAAAACTTCAAATGTGAACATCCACTTAGTCCAGCTAATAATTCTGGTAAAACTTCTTTTCAGGTCCGTGGCTTCCTTGGGGCACAGCAGCTTGATGCAGCACTTACAGGAATGGACCTTGTAATCATACCCGCTGGTCTGCCTAGGAAACCAGGAATGACAAGGGATGATTTATTCAACAAAAATGCTGGGATTGTTCGTACACTTTGTGAAGGCGTTGCAAGATGCTGTCCTAATGCAATTGTGAATTTGATCAGCAACCCAGTGAACTCAACTGTCCCCATTGCTGCCGAGGTTTTCAAGAAAGCTGGAACTTATGATCCCAAGCGTCTTCTTGGAGTGACAACGCTCGATGTTGTGAGGGCTAACACCTTTGTGGTATGAAGCCTAATACATAGCATCTCTTGAGAACCTGGAATACTTGTGTACTCTAGTAGGGTTGTTGTACTTCTCAATTTGGTAATATGCATTTCTGCTTCATATTGTGTATTGTAGGCCGAAGTGCTTGGAGTTGATCCAAGAGATGTCAGTGTTCCTGTTGTTGGTGGGCATGCTGGGGTAACTATATTGCCCCTCCTCTCCCAGGTACTGATCATATGCTGATTTCATCACACGGAAATGATAATATTGAAATATTATCTAGTTTCTATGACACTAGGTGCTGATTTAAAACCTGTTTATCTGCAGGTCACACCTCCAAGCTCATTCACTCAAGACGAAATCAAATATTTGACAGACCGCATACAGAATGGTGGCACAGAAGTTGTGGAGGTACAATGCTATTTGACTTTACTGCCTGAAGTTAGGTCTAACTGAAGCGATATAGCGAATATTGCTCTGCTATAGTCTAAGCTCTTCATCTGATATTCACTGTGCCAAAACAGAGATGAGCTTTACATGATCGACTTTTTTGTCCATCAAACATCTGGTGAACGTGCATCTCTAACTGATACATATTATGTATGTACGTATTATTTTCTCTGCATAAAGCTTACATAGTGATGTTGTTAGTGGAGAAATATATAGCGCAAATCCATCTTTCAGTGCTGTTATGTATATATGATTTATGTCGATAAATTGATTGATTTCAGTTTAACGCACTTGTTTTATTGCCGGGAGTCGAGACAGCAAGACTAAGTATTTGGCCATGCTTGAGTTGTGAGGGCTACCTGTGGTTGCAACATTGATAAACAATGAGATTCTTCTAGCTGAAGGCCTACGGCATACTCTTTTGCATGCCCTTGTGCATTACACATTAGTTCTAACAATTTCTCAATCTTTAAATATGAGTTTAAGGAAAATATCACAAATGTAACAGAATGGCTTTAAAGAACCACAATGAAATTGATGATATCATTCATCGATCAAAATTGCATACCTGCAGCTGCATATCCTGATGCATTATACATCTCTGGAACTACCACACGTCCATTTTGACTGCTTCCTGAAGTAGTTTCCAGTTAATTGAAAAAAATTAGTAATGAACGTTGTTTTCATTGATTTCAGGCAAAGGCTGGATCAGGCTCTGCGACTCTGTCAATGGTTGGTTATACATATACATGATAGCTTACTTTAGGTAATCAAAAGTTTAGTCTCTATACTAAAAGAAAAAAAAAAACTCAGGCTTTTGCTGCTGCAAAATTCGGTGATGCATGCTTGCGAGCTATGCGGGGCGATGCTGGCATTGTGGAATGCTCATATGTTGCATCCGAGGTATACTTACACGAAATCTGTATATTTCTCCTTCACATACCAATATACCATCCGAACATCGACCCCTTTCTTATTTCCGTTTTTCCATTTGGCATCAGGTG